CCTATAGGAAGCTTTCTCTAACTCTTAGGACTGGATTAAGCTCCCACTTCCTGCATCCAGGCGCTCTCACTGATCACACTGTGTATTTGTTGTCTTTCCAACCAGGCTCTGAGCCTTTACCTTGTTCACTGCTTAGCATAGAGCCCTGAAACTCAGCTGCTCAATAAGTACTTATTAAACTGTATCATTAATCCAAGGGTTAAGAATAAGATCTATCCATAATACACCAAAGTATTTGAGCTTACTGAGGAAGTGAGTGTAAGGAAACAGAATTTAGCTTCATTGATCATAATTAAACTTCCAGTTAGCAGGAGCAGGTCACAGAAGTTGGACTGAAATTGTAAATTAAAAAGTAAATAGAGAATCAAAAGCCAAAAAGACTTGTCTATGGCTCTTTTTCTCACCTTTTCCACATCACCCAGGCCCTCAGTGTCCAGAAGGACAAGAGTGTGGTCAGGCTTGGAGGGGTGAGGCATACACCACATCCAGATGCCCTTGGTTTCTGACCTTATTGTGGAGCCCAGAGGGAAGCCTGCAAGGGAAGAGGAGAAACACTGACAGCATATAGTCCATGGGGTTACATTGCTTAATCTTGTAGGAATGTAAGTGCTTGGCTGGGGAAGGGGTTGTTTCCATTTCAACTAATTGAACCTTTATGCATATTAAGGGCTTTCTCAATAAGGACTTTGTATCCACTCTTCACCACGTCCCTTAATAGGCTTGAACTCCTCCACATTACAGAATTAATGAAAATTCTGTTAGCCTGTGTATTTTTATGTGACCCTCAAGAGGAAAGAAAAAGCGTGCATTCATATATAGTATTAGAGAAAGGGTTGAGACAAAAGCTCTGTTTGTCTGGTTCATCTTCACATAGTGCTTCCTTTTCCTTGTTTGGGTGTCACATTAAGAGAGGGCCTTGTAGCTCTCAAGCTCAGCATTTGGTCAGTATGGACCCACATGGGTTCAGCATGCATATCGAGAAAACCTATTGGGACACATCTGTCCTGGCCACGGCATGATGTTTGTCTTCAATGATTGCAAGGTATTTAGATTCTGTAAATCCAAATGTCATAGAAACTTGAAAAAGAAGCACAATCCTTGCAAGGTCAGGTGGACAAAAGCATTCTGGAAACCAGCTGGTAAAGAGCTTACAGTAGATAATTCATTTGATTTGAAAAACGGGGAAATGAACCTGTCGAATACCAACAAGAGCTACGGAGTAAAACTATTGTTGCAATGAAGAGAGTCAAAGAGACCAAACAGAAATGGAAATGCCATGCTGAATTTAAAATGAACAGATTGAAGAAAAATAAAGAGCTACAGAAAGTTCAGGACATCAAAGAATTCAAGGAAAACATTCATCTTATCAGGGCCCCTGTTGCAGGCAACGGAAAGCAGCTGGAAGGAAAAATGGTACAGCAATTACAAGAGGATGTGGACAAGCAAGATGTTTCCTAAAAATCTCGCTGTAACCATTTCTATTTCTACATTTGAAAACCTCCTTTGGAAAGAGAACTTCTAAATTACTGATTTTTACATAAGCCCACTCAAATGAAAGGTGTTTAACTATACATCTCCCTTGCATTGCTTTCTGAAACAAATCAGATATTTATCAGATGATAAACTGCATCTCAGTGTTAAATCTTCACGATCGATGTGCTTATTTGAATCATGAGAATTCTGGTTGTACATACAGAAGTGAATTGTGGTGGACATAAAATGGTCATGCCATTTGGGTAATGGCACTAGGCAGGATTTATGTCATACCTAATGACAAAAATTCATGTCTAGTGACTTATAAAATAAAATTTTCTCTGAGTAAAATATTCCTTTTATTAATACTATATAGAAAGGGCAGTACAACAAAGAACTAACAATTTGTATGACAGTTAGCCTCAAATAATACTTTTACTTTAATTTCAGTATTTCTTGTTTTGGTTTATTAACATCTTAGAAGTGTATATAATGGCCTTGTACAATGAAGTCTAGTTATGCTGGACTGTTCTGACTTGGTTTAACTATTCTGTTAACTCTTCTGGATGATGGAGATTAGAGCTGAACAATCTTTGACTGAAATGGCACTATGTAATTTCCTCTTTGGAGTATACTTAAATCTAACTTGTGATTCCCGGTGGAACAAGCTTTATTTTTATAGCCTAGCAATGATCTAAAAGCAGAGGAATTCCAAGATCTTAAAATTTGTTCTGTGATTTTCTCTAAAAAAGTTTCTAATTGCTTTCAGAAAATAAAATTTATGCGTAGAACATCTGTCCATTATTTGCACACAAAATAAACTCATTCCTAAAGTTAAGAAAGAGAGAGAGAGAGAGAGAGAGAGAGAAAGCCATCTAAATGGAGAAGATTCCAACAACATGGAAGGACAGCACTGAGCAGTCACTTTAGATTCCAACAACATGGAAGGACAGCACTGAGCAGTCACTTTAGAACAGTCTGCTGAAACTGGCGTCTAGCAGCAGAGTAATAGAAAATGAGCCCTGAAATGCAGTTAATAAATCTGTAATTGAGCCCCTGAAATGAGTAACTGAGCTCTGAAATGCAGTTGATAAATCTGTAATTGAGTTAAGGAGACCAGATTTGTTAGACAATAGAGATCACTTAAGTGTTTGAGATGGATGATCAAAATCAAGAAAAATTTAGGAAAATCAGTGTGGTATTAGACACAGGAGTAATTAAGAAGTCATATCCAGGATTAGTCAGCAGACTTCTAGAATTATAAAAGTGGGAACAACTCAAGTGATCGTTTAGCTCAATCACTTATTTTGTGGACAGTGAAAATGAAACACAGAAACTCTAACTGGTTGACACAGCTAGTTAGACATATAGGTTGAGAAAACTTAGAGATCACAAAAGACTCAATAAGACAACAAAATGAAACAAGAAAAAATATCCAGGATATGAAAGGGGAAATTAATAATACAAAGAGATTAATACCTTTAAAAAGAATGTAGCAGAACTCCTAGAACTGAAGGATGCACCCAATGAAATAAAAAACACAAAAGAGAGCTTGAGTAGCAGGCTAGAGCAAGCAGAAGAAAGAATTTCAGATCTCAAAGATGGTCTTTTTGAAATAACTCAGGCAGACAAAAAAAAGGAAAAAAGAATTTTAAAAAATGAAGAAAATCTAAGAGAGCAAGCAGACAACCTCCAGCTCACAAACATCCAATTCATTGGTATTCCAGAAGGGGAGGAGAAAGGAAAAGGTATTGAAAACCTATTCTGGGCCGACTCCATGGCTCACTTGGGAGAGTGCGGTGCTGGGAGCACAGCGGTGCTCCCGCCACGGGTTCGTATCCTATATAGGGATGGCCGGTGCACTCACTGGCTGAGTGCAGTGCGGGCGACACCAAGCCAAGGGTTGCGATCCCCTTACTAGTCACAAAAAAGACAAAAAAAAAAAAAAAAAAAAAAATCCTATTGAAGGAAATAACAACCGAAAACTTCCCAGGTATATGGATAGATGTAGACCTTCAGATCCAGGAAGCCCCAAAATTTCTAAACAGATTGAATCCAAAAAGATCTTCTCCAAGACACATTACAGTCAAACTGGCAAAGCTCAAAGACAAAGAGAGAATTCTAAAAGCAGCAAGAGAAAAGTATCAAGTGACCTATAAGGCAGCCTCTATCAGACTAATAGCAGACTTCTCAACTGAATCCTTACAGGTCAGAAGAAAATGGGATGATATATTCAAAATACTAAAAGAAAAACATTTCCAGCCACGATTATATACCCAGCAGGGCTATCTTTCAGAAATAAGGGAGAAATAGTGTATTTCCCAAACAGACAAAAATTGTGGTGTAGTGGGTTAGAAATCATGATTCTCATTTGATTTTAGAATAAGGTTTTTAGGTAAATACATGTATGGGGCAAAAGCCCTCAGACAGGGGGCCACAGCTTACAGATAGTGTGTCCAAAACCTATCTAATCACTTTTAATCACTGGTTAGGTATGGACTGTATACCTTAATTATTTTAGAGATGACTGGTAGTTGTCATACTGGTTCTGTTAAGAGATTTTAAGAATTGCTGAAGGGAAAGTTGTGGAAAAAGTGTTTGCTAGGGGCAAGCTGTCTGTTGGGGGAAACTTTAGACATAATTGTATTTAGATTTTATCACAAGAGTGTAACTTTTGTTTAAGGAGAGTTCATACTTTAGATAATCAGCCAGTGTGACCAATTTAGCCCTTTACTAATTGTACTTTGGAATGTCACTTTAGTTTACTGATGTCACTAGTTTCCATTGTTAAGCTATAATCAGCCATAGACAACTTCTGTAACACTGCCCATGTCCTTATGTCCTACTTTGATGATTGAATCCACTGATTTTTCTTGTAAAACTTCCTTGTCTTGTCAATAAAAAGAAAGGCTGATTTTGGATCGGGGCTGGTCCCCTGATGGGTGGCAGTCCCTCCAGGTCTCATTGATGGTATTTTGAGCAAATTCTTTCTTTCTCTTTTCTCCGTCTCAGTTACACAGAGGAAAGTGTGACCTTGTGGGAGTTCACAAAGACACTATCAGCCCTGAAAGAAATTCTCAAAGTAGTCCTGCATCTAGAATCCAAAAAATAATAACCACTATCATGGATACATGAGAAAGAGCAAAACCTGCCATTAGAACAAAAATGCAAATGAGAAAGAGAAAGAAACATGCCACCTCAAAAATCCAACTAACATTGAAGATGAAAAATAAAAGGGGAAGAAAGGACCAAAATATATTTAAAACATCTAAACAAAAAGCAATAAAATTACAGGAGTAAAGCAATACCTGTCAATAACAACTTTAAATGTAAATGGATCAAACTCCCATTCCAAAGCGACAGACTGACTGACTGGATTAAAAAGTTAGATAAAACTTTATGCTGTCTTCAAGAGACTCACCTCACCCGTAAAGACACGCATGGAATAAAAGTGAAGGGATGGAAAAAGATATACCATGCAAATGGAAACCAAAAATGAGCAGGAGTAGCTATTCTTATATTGGATAAAATAGTCTTTAAACCAAAAACCATAAAAAGAGACAAAGAATCCCATTATATAATGATAAAGGGACCTGTCCAGTGAGAAGACATAACGATCATAAATATGTATGAACCCAGCAGTCTTAGACCTAAAATATAGAGATAAACCCTAATACAATAACAGTGGGTGACCTGAACACCCCTATCTCAACAATGGACAGATCTTCCAGGCCACAAATCAATAAAGAAACACAGGATTTCAACCATACCTTACACCAATTGGACCTGGCAGATATGTATGGAATATTTCATCCAATAACTACAGAATATGTATTCTCATCGGCACATGGAACATTCTCCAGGATAGACCACATGTTAGTCACATATTGAGTCTCAAAAAATTTTTAAAAGTGGAAATCATTCCAAGTATCTTTTCAGACCACAATGGATGAAAACTAGAAATTAATAACAAGCAAAACCCTGGAAACTATACAAATACATGGAAACTAAACAATAGGCTCCTGAATGACCTATGGGTCCAAGAAGAAATTAAACAGGAAATCAAAAAAGTTGAAGCTAACAAAAATAAAGACACATCACATCAAAACCTGTGGGGTGCTGCAAAAGCAGTACAAAGAGGGAAGTTTATTGCAATAAATGCTTACAT